TACTTAAGGAGCTGCCAGCCTCATTCCACGCAGATCTCCACTGGCATTCAATGCGTGGAAGTGCTGGTGCACTTGTGCGCTAGTCAGGCAGAAGCAGCGCTGGAARAAGGAGATGCGCTGAGGGAAGAAGAAGGCTGGGCGCTGGAGGGAAGCAGCCATCGCTGCCCAGCAGATTAGTGTAGACTTAGCAGGGTTAGTGTAGAATAGCTATGAGTGACATTCAGAGTAGATCCTCGTGAGAGAAGAGTGTGTATGCATCGTGAGAGAAAGGGACTGAGACAGAGAGAGTGTTCTTTCAAGGTCTGGTTATGGAGGACACTTACCTGAGCTAGAAGCAAGTGACGAAGGTGGAGCATCGTGAGAGGAAGGGACTGAGACAAAGAGAGTGTTCTTTCAAGGTCTGGTTATGGAGGACACTTACCTGAGCTAGAAGCAAGTGACGAAGGTGGCATTGATGTATCTGATGTGGGATTAGTATTGCGCTGAAGCGCGTTGACTCAAGGAACTGTGAACTCATTGTAATCATAATTTTTGATAATATAAGTGACGGGTCTTGGTCCTATTCTTATCTACCTTTGTCTCGTGTGTGGCAACTGTGTCCATTGAGTGTGAAGACGATGTTTGATGTATGCACATCTGCGTGAGTTGGTCCCCAGGACCCTTGCATATCGTTGATTGCTTCCCTTTGGAAGGATTGCCTGTCAGGTCCTTCCTTTTTTTTTTTCCCCCTTCAAAATTCCTTATTGCATTTCATAATTCAACACACAGGCCGGGGACCTCGTCAGGTCCTTCCTTGCCTTTTGCTCATTCTGTTCTATCCTTAAAACATTCTATCCTTAAAACAAACAAACAAACAAAACAAAAAATAAAAAAAAAACAGAACCTGACGATCTGTTTTTTTTCTCTATCTTTAGCTACATCCATCTTCTTCTGTCTGGTTCTGTTTTTTTTTTCTCGTCTTTCACTCGCTGAGCTAGTGTAGTTAATTACTAGTAAATTTACTAAATTAGTAATACATCAGGACCAAGAAAATCAAGAAAATCAAGAAAATCAAGAAAATCTAGAAAATCTAGAAAAACCCAGAGTGGACTGATCTTCTGAGCCTTTCCTTTTCGCGTGCTGAAGTAGACCTTTTCTTTTTAGGCTTTTTTTTTCTTTTTCTTTTTGGGCTTGCTCTTGAGCAGTTTGCCGAAGTGGACCGTCAAAAAGACTCTGTTCAGTCTTTTAGGAAAAGAGACTCTGTTCAGTGTCTTTTTGGTTTAAAAAAAAAAAAAGTTCAGTGTATCTTTTTCCTAAAAGACTGAACAGAGTCTTGATGCAGAACCTGGGGTTAAAACTTAAAGCGTGCTCTTCTAACCGTGCTTGGTCCGTATTTACTATTTAGTATTTACCCCTACGCAACCCCTGGAGGGGGGTTCTGCCGACAATAAAATATGCTCAGTGGCGTCAGTGCCTCTATTCCTAAAACACTGAAAAAAGTCTTGACTCTTGAATATTGATCCTGAACCTGGGGTTACAACTTGCTTTTTCTTTTTTGCTTCTTTTTTGAAGTTTTTTCCCAAAAAATTGGACCATTTCTTGATTTACGCGTATCATCCTTGCGCAGGGGCCATGCTAATCTTCTAGCGCATGCCCCGAAGGACACAACTTGGCTTTTTTTTCTAGTTTTTTTAGTTTTATTGGCCCTGATTTATCACTACACTGCCTCTGATGGAGGGCTCTGCCGTTCTTCTTTTATACTCGAAAGTTGGGAAAAAAAAAAAAAAAAAAGTGTTTGGAGTTTGCCTAGCCTATCGCTTTTTAGTGAGAGTCTTTCTTCTACTCTTACCTCTTGACGACCTCATCGCACCACTCACCGAACGTCGTGCACGTTGCGAACGAATTTCCCCCTAGAACATGGAAAGATGCACCGCCCATAACTTGTCTTTTGTCCATTTGTCTTTTGTGCATTTGGTGAGTGTGCGTTTTGTGCATTTGGTGAGTGGTGCGGCAAGGCCTGCTTGGATTCTCCTCTATCTAGACTCTAGAGGCATCCTGGGCGGTGTATTCGACGGCCTGCTTGGATTGCTGTCTGTCTGCTCTGATATCAGTCACGATCATGATATCAGAGCAGACAGACAGCAATCCAAGCAGGCCGCATGATGATTTTTGTACTGAAGATACTGTAGGTAGATCATTCCCTTATCTACCTACAGTACAGTCATGATGATTTTTGTTAGCACTCTGGAATGCATCATGCAAGAAGACACCATGCACTAGACAAAAAATGTCAGGGGCTGCACGGCGGCGGTGCGCTCCCCCCAATTTTTTTTTATTTTTATTTTTTTCCGTATTGGGGCCGGGGTCTCGGATGCCAACCCCCGGAACCCCTGCGAGGTCCCGGACTCGACAACCCTGGTTGCAACAATGTGAGGATTTGCATCGACGATTAGAAGAGGCCGAGAGTGGGATAAGAAAAATATTGTTGGTAGGTGCTTTACCATCGATTGATCCTTCTTTTCTCGGACCTGYTTGAGATTCCATCGAGTGCAACTTTGGAAGAACTTCCAAAAACGCGTTTGATTGCTATGTTAGAGTCGTTGCAAAATGTTGGTTCAGAGCCGACACACAGGAATGCACTCTTAGAGGTGCAAAATGTGCACCGCATCTGCGGCCATACAAGAGGGAGCAACTTCCGGTGAAGAAAAAAATTGCAAAGAAAAAAAAGAAAACAGATCTCTATCTTATCCCCGACCTCGTCGTAACTGGTTGTCATTCTTGTGAATCCTCCTCTGACAGACTGCATACACCGCACCAGTCCTGACTGACCGTCCTACTCACATTAGAATTTTCCAGGATGTACGCGACCGTAAAAGCAGCTAGAATCAGTTGAGAAAGTCCTAGTGTGGGTGCAGCATGAGCCGCAGCCACAAATCATTTGTCCCCAGCATCAACGGTCTGTTTGGCAGTCAAAACTGTGAGTAGCAGCTCAGTAGCTTGCAACTGATTTGGCTGGGCCCTCACACACACACACACACACACACACACACACACACACACACACACACACACACACACCTGGAAGGAGGACGCCATCTAGAATGACGATACAAAGTTATTACAAACCCCGTTTGGCCGAGTGGGAAACACAAATCCCTGGCAGAACTCCACGTGAAAAAAAAAAGGTCTTTGTTTCGTGCACCTCAGACACCGGGTCGTCCAAACAAAAGATCCAAGAGGTCCAAACACTGTCCTGATGGTCCAGATTCCAGTGTCCGAACAGGCGTTAGTAGTACCTGGTTTCATGGTGCATATGATTTAACATGCTAATGATGCTATCATGAAACTGGGCCCAATCCCCTGCTGTGGTTTGGGCAGCAGCACCGTTCCAGCAGGTCAAACGATGGGCCCGGGACTGGTGTTGCTACGACCGGTAGTTCACGGGGACAGACGTGTTCCTCCTTTGCCTTGCACTGCTCACATTGTTATAATGAGGCAGCATAGCATAGTTCCATTTCCATGCATGGATCTGCTTGTTTAGTACATCCTGCAGCATCCTTTGACCTGGTTGGTTGTTGAAGTCCACGTGCGCAGTCAACTGCACTCCAGTGACTCCACCTTCAACCCCAGTTTCAACCCCCAGTTTCAACCCCCAGTTTCAACCCCCAGTTTCAACCCCAGTTAGACCAACATAGGAATGGGGACAAAGTGATTCCAATTCGCAAGGATCACTATTGCCATCAAGCACGAATTCAGCTGTGGCTTACTGTCCCCACGTATACGCCCGCCGCCTGCTTGAGACATGGACAGTAATGTATGGCCCGGAATGGAATGGGACCGGCTTCACGTGTCAAGTCCGTTATGCTAACCTTACCTTCTGCTTCACCAAAGCCGTTCTTCGACTTTCGCATGCTGCTCTCAGGCTCGATTAGAAAAGGCAGCCGTTCGTGCAATAGGGATGGGTTTCAAGTTTCAACCGAGGTTTTTACAATTAGCTTTGTGACTATGGGATACAGCCAGAGAGATAAGTGACCCCTCTAAAACCCCTCTAAAACCCCTTTGAACCCCCTCTAACCCCCTATAACAACCCCCACCCCCTCACTTTCTAAGGGCTCCCTTGCCAATAAAAGAGGGTCTTCGCTCTGGATCTAAAATGGCGAAATTGCCCCAAAGGGGTTGCTTGATTAAGTCCTTGCAACTACATCATGGAGGCTAGGGGGGGAGGGAGGGGAGGGGAGGGAAGAGGGAATGGAGAGGGAAACAATGGAGGTTTTGATTCAGGGCTTACACTCTTTGGACTGTGAGGAGCCGTAAAGAGGTCTATTGCCCATTTTCCTGGCAGTCGATAGCATTGTGCAGCAGCGTTCATCACCATCCACACTGTGAAGCCCAACACTCTGTCCCTCGGACAGTGCCAGTACCCCTGCATGCCACCGTACTGGAGGTTAGACCTCTCTCTCTCTCTCTCTCTCTCTCTCTCTCTCTCTCTCTCTCTCTCTCTCTCTCTCTCTCTCTCTCTCTCTCTCTCTCTCTTCCCCCACGTGCATGCACCATACCCCAGCCCTCCATCTGGCAATAAATTTTGTTGATCTGCAGCTGGATTTCGCTGGTGGTTTGAAATGCAAACATCAGCTGCTGCCCACCTCTCACCATCCATGTTTGCAAGGTGCAGCAAGACACAACTCAAATGGGCCCAGTAAGGTCCGCTCAATATTCACATTTTCTTATGGAGGTAGCAAGGTGTGCTGACCGTACAAGAAAGTGTGGGGAGGGGGAAGGAGGAGGAGGAGGAGGACGACGACGACGAGGAGAAGGGTGAGTACACGGAGACAAGGAGGTGATAGAAATGATACTGCAAGACAACTGTTACAGTTCTGAGCTCTTGCATTCGAATGAGAAGGAGGGTGTGGAAGAACGGTGAGAAGAAGGTAGTGGAATGATGATGACCCCGGGGGGGGAGGGGGGGGGGAGTGAATGCGTGGAGGAAGGCGGGGGCGTGAGCGGTTGGAAGGAGAACTGACGAGTTGACTTTGTAGTGGTGTGCATGCTGAACTGGATCATCGTCCATGTTGCCCTCAACCTGCTCGACGAGGTTTATGGAGCACACCAGCGCTTGAGTGAATGCTCGAGCAGAGATATCGCCAATGATATACATGACCTGAAAACATCCAGAGAAGCCACACACCACTGTTTCAGACTTCTCAACGAAGTCTAAATAAATCATGATCAATAAAACAAACTGTTCAGTGATGAGGGCCATGCTTGAGTGGATGCATGAGCAGAGTTATTGATAATAACACAACTGCGCTGAAAGCCCCAGCAAACAAAACAAAAACCATCAGTTTATCTACCAGTGGGTACATCCATTGGGGCATGAATGAGGTCAGTGAGTGCATCGTTAAGGTGGACTACAAGCACATGAGCTCTTATCCCTGCCTACAGTAGAGGTCCTCCACCCAAAGTTTTCTTTAAAAAAAAACAAAAAAAGGCAGACTACATAGGCCCTTCTCCTTCTTCAGCGGGACTGCAACCGACTCCACATAGGACAGAAATCAGTGTGCAGTGACACCCACACCACTTGGCTTGCGTGATTGAATCAGGATCAGGATGCGACCCGCACACCACCTGACGATGTGTCGATTGAATCCCTTCAGGGTCTTAAAGAAGAATTGCCTAAACCACCCACCAGTTCAGCAGACTCTCTTCTGTTGAACCTCTTTTTACACTGACCCTGTAAGTCCTGAACCCTACTAGAGGCTGGCAGTCTCGAGAAAAGACCGGTGCAAAATTTCAATCGCCGTGATCAGGATCCGCTGGTCGGCAGTTGGCACCACCATGTTTTGCATGGTCACTAGGCAGCTACTGTTACAGCCCGCAGCTTCCATCCACACTGGCAAAAGCGCCACTACGCCCACAGAGTATTGCCAGTTTAATATGATTGATCCTGGACAGAAGGAGAAGAAGAAGAAGAAGAAGAAGAAGAAGAAGAAGAAGAAGATGAAGACAACGAAAACGAAAATGAAGACAAAGATGGAGAAGACAACAAAGAAGAAGAAGAAGAAGAAGAAAAAGAAAAAGAAGAAAAAGAGGCGGCGATTACAACAGTGGTATGGTGATTCAGACTAGAGGGAAAATGCCACCCTTTAGATCGCACCGTGGCTCATCACATAGAGACCACCTTGAGTAAAATAGGACAAGATCGCCAAACACAGTGCGACCAGAGGGTGTCAACATGACACGTGTATCACAGACATAATGTGACCAGAGGGTGCCGATATGACAAGTCTTTTCTCCCCAGTGGTATTGGTAATCACATTCAAAAAATTGTCTATATTGGGGACAAAACCGTCTTCAACCGCATAGAGCGCCCAGTACTTATCACTGTATCTAGGGTGCAAATCGAACCTTATACAGCTATAAAGACCGGTCGTTCTATACAGGTGAAGACGGTAGGAATGACAAGTCTAGGTAGAAAATTTGTTGAAAATGTAGGTAAATAGGAGACAAGGTTAAAAAAAAATGCAACAGTGAGAAAACTGCACAAACAGGTGAATACTATGGGTCAAATTCAATGAATACTAATAGTAATTCGAGTTCGCAGCAGAATCAGTTTTCACAAGTTAATCCTTCTTCTGCACACACACAAAAAAATTGGTGGGGCAGGCTAGAGAGAGTTGTACCAGTCCCTCCGTTCTGAGGTGGTGCAGTCCATGAAAATGTCCGCTATACCCTCCCGGCCTTGACCAGGATCTCTCTCTCTCTGGCTGCTTCTCAAGGTTCTCCTCCATTTGAATCATGACTTTCTTCCATTGACAGAGAATTTCCATCTCCATTAATGATTTAGTCGTGGCCCATACCTTCTTTACACGGATTACTGTGGAGTACTGGATTTGCCCAGGATCCTGCTGCTGCTGCTGCTGCTGCTGCTGCTGCTGCATCTCTCCTTCCATATGACCACCCACCGTGTCACCTTTCGGATTATGCCAAACCGGATGCGTTCCGATCTGCTGAAGTGTGGAGGAACGTTATAGTCTATAGGAGCAGTTGGATTGGGTGTTCGGGAAGGGCGGGCGAAAAAAAAAGCGATCCCAGAGAACGGATGCTCTTGCGCCGTAGTCAGCAGCGTCCTTACACGTGATCAGGCAGTAGTATTCTATCTTCCTGTTCATTGTCTGAGCACACCACACAGAGATCCGGGTCTGGGCTGTGTTGGGCTAGGCTGCACTCTGGGCCGCCCGGCGCCCGGCTCGTCGCCCGGGCGGGGGGCCGGGCCGCCTGGCCGGTCGTCCCGCCCGGTTGGCCACCGGGCGACCCCAGCGCATCACAGAGGGGGTTGTTTKTTTTTTTTTTTTCTTCGCGGGGGGCCTTCTCCCCCCCCAAGGAAGCCGTAGATGTACGAAAAAAGAAACAGAAGGGCCGGTAGGCCCCGTTTGAATGAGTTCAAATCCCCGCTCGTCTGGGCCATCGATCCTCAAGATCGACGGCCCAGATGGGCGGAATTTGAAATCGTTCAAATGGGGCCTACCGGCCCTTTTTTTTTGTGTGTGCTGGATCTTGTTTCCCGCCAACGAAGTCGACGCCAGTGTTTGTTGTCGCCGTGAGTGGGCGAAGCCCCCGTTCGTCGTCGAAGCCCCCACCCGCCTACGCCGCCCGACGCCGCCCGACGCGCGACACGGTGAGTGCGTTAGTTAGAGAGAGAGAGAGAGAGAGAGAGA